CTGAAATCTGACATCTGAAACACAAGTCTAACATGCGGAAGCAAGTACAAGTTCAGAAAGCACACAAGCATAATTCAAACATAGATAATTCAAACATGTTCAACTACTATATGACATGTTTTCACAAAAATGTCCTGAAGCTGGACCAACACCACATAACTGCTCACGCTCCACGCGGGACTCCATCACCTGAAAAATAGAGTAGTGGGGAGGCGTGAGCACAATGGAATCAACGGTGCTCCGCCGGAACCGGCACTGAATACTCAGCACAATCAATAATAAACTATGGAATCAACATATATATGAGAAAACTGTTCTGGCTATGGGACTAACGGTAAACCGGTACTCATGTGCACACTCTGGGGGTCCCCTCCCACAGAAATCCAGGCTGGGCCTCGCCCACTCATCTGGACGCTGGACTTAGGCTGGGCCTCGCCCACTCATCTAAGTCATAACTGAAATCTGATATCTTGACCAAGACGGGATCACTCATCCATCTCGGTCCTTCAATTTAATCACATATAGATCTCAGACATGGTAAATTATTAAAAGCGATGAAATACACAGTACATGGTCCCCACCTGGAAACTGGCGAAAAGCGAATGCTGAATATATCTGAATGAGTAACTGATGGAGGCTCGACTCTCCTCAAGCTACAAAATATATTGAGCGAAATATTCTAAGTACTAGGCTCAGAATAAAACTCAAATCTTTAATATCTTATATATCTAGGTTCGCTCATTCGGCTTTAAAAATCATTTTGGGATTACGAGCTGATTTTGAAAATATTATCGTCGTTGAAGCATTCTAGAGTTCTCTGGAATATTTCTAAGTCTGGGACTAGAATCTGACTTAATCTAATCTGACTGAAATCTAAACTATATGTGAAACTTAAATCTATCTGAAATTCTTAACTTTATCTGAAATCTTAATCTGACAGCATCTGAAATTTATCTGACATTTTATCTGAAATCTATATCGAACAGTCCGGCTGACCGGACCAGTTCGACTGAACTGGACCGACGGCTCACTCGGAGTCGGTCGGTCATTCGCTGAACTATGTGCAGCTCGGTTTGACCGTGGTCCGAGTTCGGCGTGGCGACTCGGGCCGGCACGAACTCGACTGACACGGCTTAGCCGATGCACGAGTTGATCGGTGCCACGGTCACTGACGCATGGGCGTGCTTGGACCACGGCTAACGGAACGACGCGTAGACGACAAGTCGGATGAACTCGGTGCACGGGCACGCACTCGGGGATTGACTCGGACTCGGTGCACGGGCACGCACTCGACGGTTCGGCTCTAACGGTCGAACAATAGGTGGTCACAGGCACGAGACGACGGTACGCATTACGATATGACGGTTAATAATTATTCGGACAGTACTAGGGTTCAATCAATTATAAACGAATTCGGAAAAAACTAGGGTTTTGATTCCGGAAAATCCTAACTCAATTAAGGCCGATATTTAATATACATATTCTACGTGATTTATAATAAATCTATAATCCGCAACTGCAGCTAAAGTCTAAATCAAACTAATATTTAATTATACGACATTAATATCTAAAGTCTCGATTTTTATAACTAAGTCAAACAACATCCAAAAATTACGAAAATCGAAACATAACGTCCTAAATATAAATATAGTCCATGGTCAAAATCTCAAGTCAAAAGTCATCTCCTAACTCAGTCAACTCCAATTTACTACGACCGGTCAACAACTTTGACCGACTCGTTGTCCTACCCAACCAAGTCCGAAAATTATGAAATTTAATCCTACGCCTCAACATGACGTAAAGAATTTTATAGTATTTATTTCAACATTTTATCGCATTTATTTAAAA